TATCTCATTACATCAGAAGAACCTAAAGCTAAAAGAGGAGACACAACTTACCCAAAGGTCATAAAAGCTAATGACCGAGCTAAGGGTAGACCTCTGTCTCCTGCCTTCCAGGCTAAGGTTATTCTTAGCCTTAGAATGTGAATAAAAAGTACACATGACCTTAATAACTTTAAAGGAAAAAAATAATCAAAACTCAATGATTCTATCCAAATATACAAAAAGTAAAGGGTTAACATTGAGAATTCACAACCAATAGAAAACATCAAATAAAATGCCAGAAATAAGTTTAAATACATCCACGATCATACTAAATGTGAATGAGCAAAATTCTTTTCATGGACATTCTGAGACATTCAACATATTTGTACAACTAGCTTCATGCTAATTACAACTCAAACCAGAAGGAAGTGATACTGGAAGGTTGACATCATTGATAAAAGATAAGTCAGTGATGTTCCAGTAACAGGACAGGCAACACAGCAATGTTGACATCAAAAAATGAATTTTAAATGGAAAACATCACATAACACAATCTGATTGGGAGCCTGGCTACACTCCTAATTTAAACAATCATTGTGCTAAAAAGTTAAAACACAGTTGGGTGGTGGTGGCACATGCCTTTAATCCCAGCACTCCGGAGGCAGAGACAGGAGGATCTCTGTTGAGTTCACAGCCAGCCTGGTCTACAGAGCGAGTTTCAGTCAGGATAGGGTCTAAAATAATACAGAGAAACCCTGTCTCAAAAAACCAAAAAAAAAAAAAAGTCAAAACACATTATCCAAAGAACACCACTGTAACAAAGACAGCATGGGAATATCTATAAGGCTTTTGTGGTGTGTGTGTGTGTGTGTGTGTGTCTGTGTGTGTGTGAGAGAGAGAGAGAGACAGAGACAGAGACAGAGACAGAGACAGAGAGAGAATGATGCACGATTGATGCACGATTCTGGGCTCTATAAATCCATTCTACTTACTTTTGCTTTAGTGCCTGCCATGCTTTTATGCTTGTGGACATGTTCCCTCCCATCCTAAAAACTTGAATTCTCCTACTCAGCTAATCATGCCATCTTAACACCGATAGATATCTTAGAAGTCAACCTCACCGTAGACCCTACCAGCTCAGGCACATATAGAACAGCATCCCACCCATGTGTCATCCCTGCCACTCAGCAAGTTGTTACATGGTAAACCAGCCCTCGAGGGGTGGTGAGGGTACCCACCGTGTGGATGACCGCTCTCAGACTCCAGTCGTGGTGGGAAATAGCTTCAGAGAAACACTCACTCTGGCGCCTACATGCTCAGGGACTAGGCTGAAGCCTACATGCTTGACTGAGCCTGGTGGAACCCAAGCTACTGAGAATTGTGGACAACCCCCTGTCACGCAGGATGTTTCCGAAGCAAACAGCCCCTAGGATCACATAGGGCCATCTGTTTCCCATTTAGAGAGGTGAGTGCTCTTTACAAACTGCCACCAATGCATGCCCTTAATCCCATCACTCGGGAGGCAGAAGCAGGACCAACCGTCTCTGTGAGTTCCAGACCAGCCTGGTAGACAGAGTAAGTTCAGGGACAGCCAGGGCTATACAGAGAAACCCTGTCTGGAAAAAAACAAAATACAACAGAGCATCTACCAAAAGAGAGGAGACAGAGAGTCAGAGAGGAGAGGGGGCAGAGAGACAGACGCCCTAGGCCTTGAAGGCTTACAACAGAGCACACCGGCAGCGTGCCTGCTAGCAAGTGGGCCTTGGCAGCTCCGGCTGCATTTGGTACATCCCAGACCCAGATCTTAGGGAGGCACACCACACACCGGGCGTCTATGGCGTAGCCAATGGATACAGCTGGCTCTCTGCTCCCAGCAGGGTGAAGCCAAGGGCTGGTTTCTCAGGAGCCCAGGCTGTTAGCAAGGAGGGCCTAGGACGGGCTCTGGAGGAACTGGAGGTGAAGGGTCATTTCCGCAGTGGAACTTGGGGTCAGAAGGGGGCGGCAGCCGCTGCTGGGAACTTGACTGTGCAGCCCTGAGTCTTTTGTTGTCCCTCCTGCAGCTTGCTGTTGGGACTTCTGAATGCACTGGGGACATTCTTGGCAGGCAGGGCTTTGGTGCTGGGCTCGGGGTTCATTAATCTGCCTGCCATTGAGCCACTGTGAAAAGAGGAAATTGTTTCGCACTCCAGGAGAAAGAAGTGGAAAGGATTGGAGCCGAAGGGAGGAGGCCCGGGGAGAACTCTCCGTGTGCAGCCAGGGCTGGGGTGCCGTGGGCCTGCCTGAGCCCTGGGCACCAGGAAGTTCTGGCAAGTCCTGGACAAACCTTCAATGCACGTGGCCAGGCGGGTAATTAGCCTAGTAACAGATGCTAGCCCTGGGTCACCGTGAACCCCAGACAATCAAGACCTGTTTCCTCGAGTAGATGACAAACGAGGGGCACAGAAGACTGCATGAGAGGGAGCAAGAGGAGGGCCAGAGAAAGCGCCGGGCCAAGGAGCTGCTGTGAATCCAAAAGGCAGGCCTGGGAGGTGGGGAGGAACCCGGTACTGTCACGGAGGAGCGGCGGGGAAATCTTCCTTTCCACTCTAAAATGGCGATCTCGACAGCCACCACCTAAGCTTTGAGAAGGCTGCAACTCAGACGCCCCGGGTTGCAGGGCCCAGCTCACGTGTTAGCGGAAGTTCAAGCGTGCAGTGGTTAGTCGGCATGTACGGTAGCAATAGACTGCTGATGCACAGACGGGCCCTAGTCTGCCCAAGCCCTGAGCCCAGAACTCCTGGGCCGCGCACAGAGGCCTTGGTACTCCCGGGAGTGAACCAGATGGGAGGGTGGGGGGAGAAATGAGAGAAGGCAAAGTTAGCAGCTGTGATAGCCACGCCCAGTCTTGACCTTGGAGATGGACAAGTGTAGGTCTGTCAGCAGCAGGGAGGTCCCAGTGACACGTAGGCCACCTGAGGTGATATCCGCATGTTGTGTTCACAGCCCCCATTCCTTGACCAGACATCTCCCACTGGAATATCTAAGTATATCCTTCATGCTGCCACCACCACCGATGTTTTAGCTTTTAGTTGACAAGCAGTTCAACTCACTATATTTTATTGCACAGTTTTCAAATGCCACAAAGATCAAAACTTAAAAGTTCCATCATTTCAAAAAGTTTTTTCCACCCCTTTAAAAATCCCTCCCTCCCCTTATCCCTGACCCCCTTCTAATCTGGTGTTATTTCCTTCCAGCTGCCTTTCCTGGCCTTCCCCCTCCCCCATGGAATCAGGTGTCATCCACTGTCTGGTCCCCCTCACTCAGCGCAATGCATTTGACATTTGTCCAGGTTGCTGTGTGTCGGCCTCTTCCTTTTCATGGTTGAATAGTATTCCGTTGTACAGGTCACCTCCCTAAAGGGGAACACTCCCGCTTCTTGCCTCCTCTCCTCCCTCTGATCTTGGCTTTTCTGGAATGCATGGAGATAATATTGAAAGTTTACTGAGTGGGGCCAAAACTTTGCTGTAACCTTTTCTTTCCCTCAGTTGCTCTTACGGCTTTTCTAAATTAACTTTTTCACTCTAGCGTTGGCCTCCCGGGCTGAGTATAAACAAGAGGCTTTGTTGGGTTGTTTTGCCAGCACACAAAGTACGCAAATCAAAGACGTTCAACTTAGCCACTGAGTTACGCACCCACTGCCCCAATCAATTTTAGGATATTTTAATTATTGCAGTCAAAGTCTGTAGCCTCGTAGCTGTCATGTCCAGTCCTCCATAGCTCCCAGCTCTGGCCACCACTAACCTGCTTTCTGTCTCTAGAAATATGGCTACCCTGGGTATTTCATATAAAATCTTGCAATGTGTGACCTTTTTATGTCTAGCTTCTTATTACCCCACTCAAAATGTTTTTGAGTTTCTGTCTGTGAGTCATCACTACATTTTTTTCTGAAAATAATATTCCATTATATAGACATAATACGTTTTTTCTATATCCATTTTCTACTTGATGGACATTCAGATTTGTCCTAATTTTTGGCTCTTGTGAATACTGTTGCTTTGGGTTCATATACAGGTTTTAGGGGGGCAACTCCTGCAGTTCTTACTGTATATATGTGAGTAAAACTGCTGGCTTATATGGTAGCTCAGTGCTGAACCATTTGAGAAACTGTTTGCGGAGACACTGGTACCATGTTATACTCTACGGAGAGCAGGCGCTTCAGTTACAATGAAGGTTTGAATGCACTCTAACTTATTTTCTATTGATCTGAGACAGAGCCTCACTAGGAAACTCAGTCGATTCAAGCTTGTGGAAATCCTCCTGACCGCGGCAGCCTCCCAGGTTCTGGGTTTCCAAGAGTCAGCCCCTGTGGCCATCTTCTAGCTTCTTTTGCAAAGTGATAAAAAATCCATTTTACACACGTGGTGCAGCATCCCGACGTGCATGCGTGTGGATGTGTGCCTCCCTCCGTCTGCATCCTCCCACAGAGCTCTCCGTCCTCCTAACCAGACTCTGTGTCTGTGAAGTGAAAAGCCCCACGCCTCCTCCCCTCTGCGCTGGCAGCTAACAGTCCGCTGCGAATTTCAGTGTCAAAGTACCTCCTATGCGTGGAACATGAAGTGTTTGCTTGTCTTTTCCTGACTGGCTTGTTTTACTCTCAGCACAGTGTCTTCAAGAGTCTTCCACACTGTAGAGTCTATGAGAATGTCCTTCCTGTTTACGGCTGGATAAGGTCCTTTATATAAATATATGTAAATTTCATCTTCCCTAGATGGATACTGGAGTTGTCTCCACGCTTTAGCTATTGTGAACAATATTGCATTGATCATGGATGGATACATATCTTTTTTTTTTTTACTTTTTTTTTAATTTTATTTTCCAGTTTAAATTTAGATAAGAATCAAGGTTGCTTCACAAGTCAGTTCCAGGTCCCTCTCCCATTCCCTCCCTTCCTCCCGTGCCCTCCCCCCCCCCCCGTTTTTTTTTTTTTTTTTTTTTTTAGGGTTTCTCTGTATTGTCTTGGAGGCTGTCCTGGAACTCGCTCCGTAGACCAGGCTGGCCTCGAACTCACAGAGATCCGCCTGCCTCTGCCTCCTGAGTGCTGGGATTAAAGGCGTGCGCCACCAACGCCCGGCTGGATATATATCTCTTATTTCCAGTAATTTCAACTATGCTGGGCATACACATTCTTTTTCCTTAAAAAAAAAGTCAAATAAAATTTGAAATTTTCCCAATATAAAAATTTCAACCGAATATTCAGTATAGTTCTATCCAGTTCCTACACAACCTTCCCGTTTTGGTTTCCTTGGTTTCCGCTCACCGTACACAGGAGTCTTAGGGTCTTCCCGAGTCACTGCACACACACCGCTGTGAAGACTTTGCTGTGGGCCACAGCTCTTCAATTGAGTTGGTAGCTGAGCCCCGACGATCATCCTGTGAAATACGATCAACCTTGTTGGCCCTGTTTAAGACTCAGAGAGACACAGGCAGTGAGCTCAAGTGCTTTTCCCAAGGCTGAGATTAAGCGCTGGTTTGGGTGAAGCCTAAGCCCTCATGCAAAACTTTACCATGGTAGCTGGCGGCATTCCTGGGGTGGGCCGGGTCTTTGAGGACGTAACATGTGCAGGGTCCTAAGGTTGATTCCTCAGCCAAAGCCGAGCTACCTCTCTGAAAGAAGCCTCCTCTTCAGACCCCTGACTCCTCCCTCAGAGCCTGGACTCCTCCCTCAGAGCCTGGACTCCTCCTCCCTCAGAGATGAGGCTTTTCCTGGGAAACCAGAGGGTGGTCCCTGAGGAAATCCCTGGCTTTCTGTTTCCTTCCCACTTGGCCCACCCCAGCTCCTCCTCACACTGCCCTCCCTTTAGACAGTTCGCGGGGCATTTCAAAGCCCAGGCCAAATCAGTTACACAAAAAGACTCCCAGGGACCACTTAAGAAAGGAGAGCACAGCTGGCCTCCCTCGCGACTGAAGCCGGGGTCTCAAGCGGTGGCATCAGGCTCTTCCTCCGTCGCTTTGGAGACGCCGTTCTTTGATGATGACCTGGTTCTTTCCCACGGTGGACAGACATTTTTAGAATGATTCCCTTTTTATTCATAAGTTATAAATTCTACATTAAAGGGCTACTAGTACAGAATTTCTCTTTTCAATGTGCCCTTTTTATAGTTTAATAGTTAGCAAGAAACTATTTTTGGTGCTTGCATGAATTTTCCCCAAAAAATAACACCGTAAATAAACTATCTGTAATTAAAAGTTGTGCTGTTTGAGAACTTCATACATGTATATAACGTGTTTTGATCACATCCCTCCTATTTTCCCGCAGCTCCTCCCTTGTTCCCTATACCAATTTTTTCCTCAACTTTATGTGTTTTTTTGGTTTTATTTTTGTAACCCACTGAGTCTACTTAGTGTGGCCTGTATGTAGATGGGGTGTAAGACCATGTACTGGTGCATGGATAGCCTGCCTGGCACAGGTTGCATCCCCGAAAGAAAGCTCTGTCTGTCTGTCTGTCTGTCTGTCTGTCTGTCTGTCTGTCTCTGTCTGTCTCTGTCTGTCTCTGTCTGTCTCTCCCTCTCTCCCTCCTTCCCTCTCTCTCTCTCTCTCTCTCTCTCTCTCTCTCTCTCTCTCTCTCTCTCTCTCTCTCCTAGCAGCCAATCTCAAATAGCTACTCAGCTTGGGGTGGGGTTTTGTGAGCCCCTCCTTTCTGTCTTAGTTATGTTGCTATTGTGATGAAAACCACAACCAAAACCACAAAAAAATTGGCAGGAAGGGGTTTATTTTAGCTTACAACTCTCAGGTGACTCTCCACCACTGAGGGAAGTCAGGGCAGGAGCTGAAGGCGGGAACCTGGAAGGCAGAGAGTGAAGTGAAGACCATGGAGGAGCGCTGCTTCCTGGCTCATTCCCCAGGACTTTCTCAGCCTTCTTCTTGTACCACCCAGGACCACCTGCCCAGGGGTGACGCCACCCACAGGGGATTGAGCCGTCCCACAGGAAATGCCCTACAGACTTGCATACAGGACAGTCTGATGGAGGCATTTCCCCCCAGATGACTCTACCTTCTGTCAAGCTGGCAAAAACTAACCAGGACCTCCCCAGTCCATGCTGCCGGCCGGCTTGATCCTGTGCAGACCTTGCTGCCATGGTTCATGCGTGCAGCATCCAAACTGCTGGGAGTTCATGTGTGCAACATCCATGTTGCTAGTTCATGCGTGCAGCATCCTCACTGCTGGGAGTTCATGTGTGCAACATCCATGTTGCTAGGAGTTCATGCGTGCAGCATCCTCACTGCTGGGAGTTCATGTGTGCAACATCCATGTTGCTAGGAGTTCATGTGTGCAACATCCTCACTGCTGGGAGTTCATGCGTGCAGTATCCTCACTGCTGGGAGTTCATGTGTGCAGTATCCTCACTGCTGGGAGTTCATGTGTGCAACATCCTCACTGCTGGGAGTTCATGTGTGCAACATCCTCACTGCTGGGAGTTCATGCATGCAGTATCCTCACTGCTGGGAGTTCATGTGTGCAGCATCCTAACTGCTGGGAGTTCATGTGTGCAGTATCCTCACTGCTAGGGTTCATGCGTGCTGCACCCTCACTGCTGGGGTTCATGTGTACCGTGGTGCTATCCTGTCGGGCAGATTTTGTCCCACTGTAGATTTAAACTGTCACAGTCACTGTGGAAATCCGTGTAGAGGTTCCTCAAAAGGCTAGAAATCTACACACCATAACCCAGCTATACTACTCCTTAGTATTCATAAAGGACTCAACATCCTACTACAGAGATATTTGTTCACCCATCCTTACCGCTGTCTATTGATAAGAGCCAGAAAACAGTAACAACCTAGATTTCAACCACTGATGAAAGGTAACTAAAATGTGGTTCATACACATAACAGAACATTACTCGACTTCAAAGGAAAACAAAATTATCAAGTTCGCAGGTAAAAGAACAGAGCTGTACAAATTCCCTGTGAGACCCCAGAAAGACAGAAGCCGTGTGTTCGCTCTCAGATGTAGATGCTGGATTCAAACCGTTAGATCCGCCTACTTAAAGCGGCGTGCCCATAGAAGTCAGGAAACTAACTAGTGAGTGACTATTGAAGGAGCAAGAGTTCAAGAGAAGGGGCCTAGAACGCAGGTTATGAAGGAGGGAAGAGAGAGTAGTGGAACACGAAGGGTTAAATGGGGTAAGGGATGGGAAATCAGGGTGGAGAAGGGAGTGTAGGGAGAGATAACTAGCAACCACTAAAGACCCTTGAAAATGCCATGTGGACAACCACTACTGTAGAAACATAGATATGCATGGAGCTTAAATATTACCTTTGAATGGGGGACAATGTCTCTCCCAGACAACACAGACTATCAAATAAAAATCCCTGTGCCAGGTATGGGCTTGTTATTTTCCAAATGTCAGTCAGTGGGGTCCTATAGATTCCTCCTCAAACATTACAGGCTATCACCATTGCTCTTGGATTACCTTTCCAGAACCTGGTGGGCAGATACTATTGCTGAAGACACCACATATTGAGTAATAGGACCCAGAGTAATCAAGTTGGTACCGGCTGGAAGCTTCATCCCTGCAGACCTTCCTCACTGAGTGTAAATGCTAGCTGGTATAAACTCTAAAATCTCAGCCCCAGAGCTTAGCTTTCCATCCAGGAGGACATACTATCTTTTTGCCTAGCATGGGTCCATCCCAGGGCAAGGTTTTCATTGACCCTGTTCAGTCTCTTTGCAAACTCCTTCACTACTCCAGAGACAAGGAAGAGGTATGTTGAGTGAAGCCTTTTCCTTGCCAGCTGCTTTGGTTTTTCCCCACCAGTCGCCTGGGCTCTGCTGCGTTGTGGTCCCCAAATAACACACAAGACGCTGTATTAATTATGAAGCTGTTGGCCGTTTGTTTCTTACTGGCTATCTCTGACTTAAGTATTTACTCCATAATTGTTAATCTAAGTATTTCTCTTACCGGAGAAAGGTCCTGACTTCTTATCCCTATGGTGGCTACATCATGACTCCCTCTGTTTCTCCTTCCCAGAGTCCTCCTGGACTCCTAGTCCCACCTACCTTGCTTCCCTATTGGCCAACAGTGCTTTATTGACATACACACAGGACTTCCCCATCAGAGGTGGCCTTGAGAGTGATGTAGACTAGACAGCCTAGTAGATGGCACCTACTCGGCAGGCTCGAGGGGTGATCACAGCCACACTCTGATTTCCAGGGGTGATCACAGCCACACTCTGATTTGGTCTAAGGACAGCACCAGGCAGCAAGAAGCTCCCCACACACTGTGCAGTTCCACGGTTATTGCCACCACTGGTGGCCACCTGTGCTCCGTGTTCCTCATTGCCAGAGTGGAAGGGACTCAGACCTGAGGTCTTTGGAAATCTCCAACCGATGCAACCTTGGTCTACTGTGTGTGTGTGTGTGTGTGTGTGTGTGTGTGTGTGTGTGTGTGTGGTGCAGACACATTATCTAAACATTTCCATCATCTGCTGCTGCTTCCAGCTCCCTCCTCCCTGACTCGGCCTCATCTGTCAGCAGCCCTTGTCTCTTCCCCACCCTGAGGTGGAAGAACATGAGGTGCCCAGATGTACGGCTGTTTACATCGCGCAGAGCATGAGGCCCTGCTGGTGGCTCCCTGCTCGTCCCTGGCTCTTTCCTCGAAGCAGTCCAGGCCTCTGATGATTGCTACAAGCCAAATGGTCACGGACAAGCCTAGTCATTATGCTGTCTCCTCCCCTTGACTCACCGCAGACCTGACTGCCTCACATATCTGGTTTCCTCATCAGAAAGCAGCCTGAGGTTTCTTCGCCTTTTGATTGACTGTTGAATGAAAACCAGGCCCTTTTGTTTGCTGTGGGGTTCTTTGTTTGTTTGGTTTTCCGTAGGATGTCATGCTTAATTCATCTCTGGCCGGCCTCCACGGACCAACCATGATACTTGGCACCTTCTAGTCTTTCTCTCTAGGATGGCTTCCCGTACCCCAGCCCTACCTTAGTGAGGAGCATTCTTCCCACTGAGGCTCACCAAATACCTCCTGCCTATATATGAGCTCGGGCCGACATCGCAGACTATCCAGAGACCGGGGCTTTCAAAAGTAATGGCAATGCTTGTTCAAAATAGTTGGGCATTCCTGAGCTGAAGGGAGAGGCATCACACAAAAATATGTACCAAAGAAAGGGAACCACGGGACTTTCGTTTTCCAACGGCTCATTCCGCAGCTGCAGAATGAATTGCTAGCGTGGCTGTCACTGTAGCTCACTAGCTTGGCAAGTGTACGGTGTGGACATTCCCAAAGCGCTTTCGCCTCAACCGACTCCTTTCATCTCCTGCGATGAGAGGTCGCTCTTGTCCATGGTGCAAGCGGCATATCCGCTTTTGGGAGAACCTTCTAGAATGAAGTCCCAAATGGGCTTCCTAAGTATTCCAGACTCAAGCAATGGAAGAGCAGCCGCGAAATCCAGTCAGCTCACCCTTCTCTGGGCACACACTCCCAGACATGATCCACGGGGACTGGGCACAAAGGAAGCCACCTGAACTGACAGAGAGCATCCCCACTTTGCAGTTGAGTACGCTGAACCAAGAAGAGGAAATATAGACCGATTACACTTGGGTCAAAAGAGAAGCACATTCCTACATAGACATATTTATCTGCCTAGTCTCTGGTGTAGAGGAGGATTTTCCCCATTGTACACCCCTGCCAATGACTTCCTGGAAG